AGCTGGGGCTAGGATTGGTCTTTGTTTGAGACAAAGTGTTCTGTATGATTTACATGGGTTTTTGGTTTGTTTTTGGGTTTGTTTTGGTTTTTTCCCTGAAAAATTGCCCACCACAGAATCCACTAGACCGCTTTGAGTTTGCTCTCAAGTCCTTGCATCTATTAGGGGAACACGTGCGTATCTTGCATATATGTGTATGAGTGTATGTGGTAAACATCAAAAGAAATCCCATAGCTTTCAAACATGTTTGCTGATGTATAACACAAGAAGAATGTCTCAAAGATTCTGCTCCAGGAGTTGTCATGGCTTTGCTGGGGTTTTCAACTGGTTTCACGCACTGTAGGAAATCCTTACTGAACACCTTATGGGTCCATGTCTTCTGTAAAGAGCCTGTCCGGAAAGGTGCTTCTATTTGAGCAATATTGTACCCTTGCAAATGGTCTTCTTATATCTGAGGTCTGATCCTTTTGGCAGTCTTCCCCCATTCATTAATGGAAATTGGAGTCAATGAAGTAGTGATATAATATTTACAGCGTAGGAAACCCCAGGTGATTCAAATGTGTTCTATCTTACTGGGTAGAGTCAGAATTTTGTCTTGGATAAATATTGCATAGTTTTGGCATTAATCTGAAGCTTTATCTGAATTACTTGATCTTTCTGAGTCTATAAAACTTAAGTTGGAAACCTTGAGAAGCAGTTTGTAACCTTTGTGCTTCAAAGGCTTGCTGTAAATACAACGGGAACAGGGTTCTGCTGTGGTGTTTCAACACTACTCAGTTTTGTTGGGGAAGGTGACAAGAAAAAAGAATTGTATAAATATTTAAACATGTTTGAAATGTATCATACAGGCTTGGTTCATCCCATGATAAAAAGTAGTTTGGATTCAGTGTGAGATTAGCTTAACCTCTGCCCTGAAGATCGCATTTTTCATGCATGTATCACCCGGGGAATCTTACAAACTTGAGTTTGCAAAAGTTAATTAAGACTTCAATGTCATAATATTATCACAAGGCCTCCTGCCATCATGTCTTTGCAAAGGTTATAGCATTAATGAGGTATGAAAGCAGATTAACTGCTGATCTAAGGTCTATGCTGAATTGCCCCCTTGAAGTAACAATCCTGAGTAATCAAGCACCTCATTTAGCTAAGAACAGGAATATGCAATTCCAAAACTACTTCAGAAATATGTTTTGACCAATTCAGAAAACAAAGACATCTTGCACCGAATTACTCTTGGGCTTAAAACTCTGTGAGAATAACATAACACAAATACTTTCTTTTCCTTGCTCTTCCTAACCAGGAACAGAAAAGCACACAGTTGTTTTTCATAGAGACAAGCAGCTTAGGATCTTGGCCAGTAAAAGCAGAGCAGGACTTCTGTCCTTTGTGGAGGAAAAATGACAATTCAAAAAGGAATGTAGATTTTAGGCATTGGTTTCTGCAGAACACAGGCAGTTGATGAATTTTGTACAGAAGAGTGTGCTTGGGAAAACAAGAATCTCTTTGAAGTTCTTTTTTTACTGCTGCAGTTTGAGAAACTGGGGTAGCTCAGTCTGCATCACTCGCTGATACCTTTGTATATGACTCAGACAATACAATTTTAAGACACCTTTATAGATTAGGAACTTTTTATGACTGGTAAAAAGTGTTTCACTTCTAAATGGCTACTAAATCCACACGGTTTAAAGATACATGCTGAGTTCAGTTGTTCATTTTAGATTTGTGGTTCATCTTCTTGGAGCACTTGAGCATGGCTGCAGCTACAGCACTGCATCTTGTGATGGTCCCTGACTAGCTTCTAGGCTAGGGCTTTTGCATATCAATCCCAAAACATGATGACTGGTGTTTGAAATCTGGGGTAGTGATCCTACCAAACTACACAAAAGAAGGGTTCAACTCCAGTATCATCACCAAGGGCTATGTCATTAAAAACCCAACTGGACACAAAAGCCTGATGTTGTCCAGCATGCGTGCCTCCAGTACAGCCCTTAGGAGGAGATACAAAGCTCGGCTTTCTGCTTTATTGGAATGAGGTGATTCCTTCCTGGCCCTGTAAGACCATGTGTTCATTTGGGGGGGGGAGGTATTCACATGTTTGAATTGGGAGGGAACCTGTGAGGGAGGGTGCAGAAGCATGAATACAAGTAGCGCGTGTTTTCACAGTATGTCCTCGTTTTCCCCTTGCAGTGGCTTCCTGGGCATTTTATTTCTGGGGTCACAGTGCATTGGATTTTCATCAATGGGCAAATGTTATGCCAGTTTCTTACATGTATGCACAAGCAAATTCTGTCTGGTGGGTTTTTATTCCCAAGCAAGCTCTTTCAGTGCTGGGTGAAAAATGTAATACATGGGAAATCAGTTCAACTGAAAAGCCAAGAAGAAAATTTTTGCAACAAAAGTCTGTCACAAAATATGAGTTATTATGATGGGTGGATTTACAAATTGCTGTCAAACCAGTGCTGAATGATGTTAATATGGCTGTTTAGGGCAGTCCACATTTAATTATTAAGTGTTATGACACAACACCATTATTTCTGCTGGATCTATATGCTTCTATTTACTGTGGTTCTGCTGTTGGGATTTTCAGGCAGCTATGTCAATACTAAGCCTTCTCCTTTGAACGTGGAGAAAATGCAGTTTCTTGTGTGGAAAACATTACAAAGCAGTGTATGAAGAATAGTTAGAGTAACGATAACACCCTTCAAAACACATCTGTCTGAAGGGATGGAATGATGTTGGTGTTGAGCTGAATTCCAGAAGGAGAGCACCTTGGCAAAGCTCGAACTGAATTTCATTCAGTGAAATACACTGAGAATTCAGTGCCATTCAGTGCAATTAACTTCAGACCATGCGCATGGGTTGGAGAGCACAGTAACTTCTGGAGTGCCATGGGTTCCCCATGATTTTGAATTCCAGTTTTACCTCCCGCCCACGGGATAGCCCTGTCAGGCTCACACTGACAATCTGGAGTTTTGATATTTTTCAATATGAACAAAGAACATCAATTCCAATACCAGCCTCTTATTCTTCTCCCTTTCTTGCCTGATTGTCTTAGGTGAGGGAATTTCAGACAATGTATAAAATAATAGATTTTTGCAATATCACAGTCTGGGGAGCTTGACCTGTGTGCTGTGGTAGTTCAGACTCTTAGCAGTCAGTTCCCTGTATTTGTGCTTTAAATAAAAACTGCAATTTCTCATCACTCTGTCTGACCCTGGAGCAGTGGAAACAATCTGCTCTCATGGAGAAACACAGAAGCTGTGTGGAACTGGACCAAATTTAAATAAAAACTGCAATTTCTCATCACTGTCTGACCCTGGAGCGGTGGAAACAATCTGCTCTCACGGAGAAACACTGAAGCTGTGTGGAACTGGACCAACTATAAATATGGATTTATGTTATAAACCTGTGAAAATTTTGAGACAAAATTCTTCATGAGGAAAGTCAAGTTTGTTAGATGACATAAATATGGATTTATGTTATAAACCTGTGGAAAATTTTGAGACAAAATTCTTCTTGAGGAAAGTCAAGTTTGTTAGATGATCAGAATGCCTGCACATCTGAATCAACAAAAGGACAGTGCTTTGGAAAGGAGGGTACATGGTTCAATGATGAATGGAAAGCAGCAGTATAGAAATTAAAAACTAGACCTACTAATCAAGAAATGGAAAAACTAGGTAGACTATATTAGAACCAATATAAGCTCAATAAGAAATTTAAGACCTTCAGGGGCAAATCTATGGCTAGAAAAGCTATAGGACTCTGCAGAGCTGGCGGATGTCTCTAGGGTGATGAGCAGAGTACCAAGATCCCTGCCCCAGGGCAGATCAGCTCCACTGCAGTAGCCGGCGGCCGAGTGGTTCTGGCGTCTGGCTGGTGTTTGTGGAGCCACCTGCACTGTCCTTCTTCAGAGTTCATAAGAGTCCCTCGGTGGCACAGTCCAGGTCAGAGCAGTGCCTCGGCAGAGATGAGGTAATTATTGCTAGTGGCAGGATCACTTATAAGAAGTAGTGTTCTGTCCTTAGAACATGCAGGCTAGCATGGCAATGCGGGAGAACGGCGAACGCTGTGGCACGTCTTAGGAGTGGTAACTCTTGCTGGAGCACTGAGTCATTTCCTTCTGTTGACATAAATTTGTACAAAATTTTCAGTTGAATAAGTCTTCCCCTTTATAGCTGGACAAAGATCCTGTGGTAAAGAAACAGTTTTATGAATTCAGTGCCCAAAGTGGTAAGTCTAAAGGCAGGTAATTTGGGATTGAACCAGCATTTTCAACAAAAATTAAAAAATCTTCCTCCTTCCTGTTCATTTTATTCTGAGTCCCTCTAATGTTTTTTTCTGTTCAAAGTGCTAATTAATTTCTATATGTCTTCTGAAAACCATTGAAAATTAACCTAAATACAAACAAGGTTAAAACATATATCTTTTTTTTCTTTTTGAAAGTACTGAACTGAAATACTATCAACCCTTTTAATGTTTTCATGTCTGGTTTTGGCTGAAGACATTAGTGGAATTTATCCAAGTGTCACAAAGACTCTGTGTGTAGCCATAGTGTCGGGAAGGACTGACGGGACTCTCGGATGGCTAATCAGGTGAAGCCAGGTAGAGGCACTTGCCTATGAGTATTCTCTGCTGAGACAACAGGGTAATGTTACATACGGAGCTGACGTGGACATGTTTAAAATGGTCCTGAAAAAATGTTGAGGTTGCGCAAAGTGCCAGAAAGATTGTTCATGGAGCCTACAGGTTACGCGGAATGTGGAAGCTGCTTTAAAAATGGTGTCTGCATTAAAAATCGTGGGTGAACAGTATTTTGCTTTGTCTTCTGCAAGGACTGCCTTGAAATGCTCAGACTCCCACGCTGCAGACGGGCTTGTCACAGCGTCCCTGGGATTTGGTGCGTGTGTTACATCAGCGGTTCTGACGGCTGAACTATCTCACTCGTTAACCGCTGGACAGCTCATTAAGTTTTTAATGAACTTTTTTTCCTTGCCTTCCAGGTTTATGATGAATGTGACTTGGGAAGGTAAAGATCTGTCCTTCACCGCAGACGGTTACCAGGCACACCCCAGGCTGGTGGTGATCGTGCTGAACAACGACCGGGAGTGGGAAAAGGTGAGCGCTGCTGGGGGGACACGCGGGAGCTGGCAGGGGGGCTTAGCGGATCCCTGCGAACAGCAGGTAGGCAGGTTAGCGTCACGGGTGTCAGTGATGATCTTCTGCTGTAGCAGGCGTGTCACAACAGTGCGGAAAAGAGAAGTTTACCTTATTCTGAGTAGGCCTAAGGAGTTTTGACAGGAAAGCAGCATTTCGGTGAAGATAGGCCACATGGATTTCAGAACGTTTCTGTGAAATGCACTTAGCATTTCTCCGTATAATTTAGTAAAATAAAATAGATGACTGAAAAATCTCCTGAAACTTGGGCCTTAACTACCTAAATTTAGATGGATTTGTGTATCTTGACATCTCCAGTCCTTTTATTTGCTTGGTTTTATATTCTTTGACAGATCTTTGGAGTAAAAGTGTTTTGGTTTTTTTTGTAAACTGTAAAATTCCTGTTGAATCGGAGGATAATCCCTACAATATTTGCCTAAGAAATTCAGAATCTTGACTTGTGTTCTGTGTTTTACTGTGAAGAGTAAATAATATTATTTTATTAGATACCTAGTAAAGGGACAGAGTGCAGTGACCTAGAATCTGAACATACCTTGGGGCTGATCCTCTAGACCTTCCCTGTTGAAAATGAATTTGCTGAGACCAGGTTCAGCTGCCAACTTTTCTAAAAACCTCTACGTCTTACTATCAGGGTAAATCATATATGCGTGTAATAAAAGGAAAAGTTTATTGTGAGCTTTTTTTTAAAAAGCCTCCCACCTCAACCTGTGATTGTTTCCACTCTGAGTTCTGTAGGCTGTGGCCTCGTTTAAAAACAGGGGGTCTTAGCAACTGATTGCCATTTGAGAGCATAAGAAAAAATACAGCTGTGTCATCCACCCATTTTAAATTTATAAGGCATGATCCTGCATATCTAAATTGCTGCTGAAGTCTGTGAACAGTTTTTCTTATAGTTTTAGGCTCCCATAAAATCAACTCACAATTCCAATTTATCAGACTGCAGGACTCTCCATGATATTGAGTAATAATGACAAGTAAGAATTACTGAAGGACATCTCAGTAAATACACTAGTTATACAAAACCACAGAGATTATGCTATATGCTTCTTGATCTTCATTTGATGCAAATTTAATTCTCTGGATAAATTTAATCCTATCCAAATGTGTCAATCTGAATCTTTGGAGGAATCTTTTGCTCAGTAACCATTATGAAAATTTCTTACCCTGTTTTAAAAATCTTCAGTAGTCTGCATATCATATATAATGTTCTGGAAAAATTATTATACTACATGGTGAATATTAGTATGAGACACCAAAGTGAGCAGATCGTTAGAGGGAGAGCCACCAATGATTATGGTAGAATAATTTCATACATTTTGTACCTTGAAACTTCTCTAAAGAGATCATTGAAAGGACAAGGTGAGATAGGTTTGATAGCTTTGAAAAATGAACTAACAGCAAAGAATTGTTGGATATATGAACCGACATTATTTCCAAGAAATAGCTTGAGCCTGTCTTAACCTTCAAGTGTCTCCCCTATGAGAGGATGGAAGATCTGGTGCAGGTTTTGCTGTATCTACCACGCACGTTGTACAGCAGCGCACACCCCACCCGCTGCGCTGGGCTGTGGGGCTCTCTGCAGGCTGGCGCTTCCCTTGTCTGTCCATGGTTTTCCATCTGGTAAATCCCTTCCTGCTCGTTGCTGTGTTTGAGGGGCTTCTAGGAGGAAAAAAAAAGAGTGACTGAAGGGAGGCTTCTGCCCCTGCAAAAATATATGCATCTGCTTCTCGCTGCCCCTTTTCTTTAGAGCCCTCTTGGTGCCAGGCCAGGCAAGTGACTTTGGGAGAGGCTCCTGCCCCTAGCTGCAGCCTGTGCATCTGTTCCTCTCTCGTAGGACTTTGGGAAGGGGGCCAGGTTTAATTGTGTCAGAGGGGAGAAGTGAAACGAGGCCAGGAACAGGCTGTCACCACCAGAATTATTCTTTCGACCACAAGCTGATTGCTGCAGCTGTAGATGAAGACAAATAAACTGAGTAATCAATTATCCTGGTACGCTGGCTGTAGCTCTTGGCTATCTCGGAGCATCCCACGTGTGTATCAGCGGAGCATCACTGTACGCTTCAGAAATAATAGGACAGTTCCTCTGACTTAGAGTCATGAGAAGGCGCTTGCCCACCCCCTGGTTTATTTGAACATCTCTCTAGTGTTGTCTCGACATTCTTTCCAAGTTGCATTTCTCACCCCGTATCTCTAAGCCAATTTCTTTCTCCTTGTTTCTTTCTCCTTGTGCTGTTTTGCTCAATTTCAAAACTGTCAAAGCTGCTCATCTGAGATCTAACATTTCCTGCTTTGAGTTTCCAGACAGGCGCATGCTTTTGCTTCCAATTCGTATTGCAATGAATATCACAGAATTGCTTTACTGAAGTCTTATCAAATATCCTCGATCCTATATGGAAGACATCAAGTCCTAGAATCTAATTAAATGATTTACTCATGTGAAAATCTGACAACGCAACAGCCTGCTAATCCTTGTAACGTAACTAATGTACATAGAAATTGCGAGTAGCTACTTTATTATGTAGGTAGGAAAGAGTAATTGTGGTTTTTGTGAAGATTTTTTTTGCCCAGTATTCTCCTGAAAATACAAGCTTTAATATTAAAACTCAATTTTATTCAGTTTTAGTATAATAATCTGCTTTTACTTAAATGCATTTTTTCCTTGGTCTCAAAATTGATACACTTGACTCAGGGCTTGAGGTTATAGAAAATCCATTCAACCATGGTTGAAGAGCATGCATCTTACCCCTAGGAAAATAAGTTCATTTTCCTTTGCAAATGACTCGGTATCAAAACTTTGAAGTGGTAACTTCACGTATAAAGGGGGTTGACTGAGGGATTTGTCCCATATCTGATTCTGAAAAAAGCTGTTGGATGATAATAGTTTGAAGTATGAAAATCACTTTTGGGCATGTTCAGCATGCTTCCAGCAAGATATTTTGGCAGATCCTAAAGCAGCTACTCAGAGTTCTGACATGAACACTCATATTCATGCTGCTCATCTTGACAGGCGGAGGGGCTGCTCTTCTCAGGCAGGAGATCCTTAAGAAGATAAGCTTAATGTGCTTGTTTCAGAGAAACTTGGTAAATCTGCTGGAGTGAACAGTGTTGCTCAAATATCACCAAAGCACTGCAGAAACAGTATGCTAGTGCCAAGAAACTTCTCAGAGGTCCAGCAGCACCAGCTGCAGCTCCCCCATTGAGCCTGTCTCAGCGGGGTGTGAGCTGGGGTCTCACCCAGCCCAGTAACTTCACTGAGATGCAAACTTTGCAGTCTGTTAGTCTGTCTTTTGGTTGGTTGGTTGGTTGGGTTTTTTTTTTTTTACATTTGGAAATAAAACCAATCAATCCAACATTAAAATAATCTTCTAGAATATATATATGAGTGGGGAGGACTGTATTGCATTTAAAGATGAGCGTATGTCACGTGTAAAGGTGAGTTCCAGGGTAAAAACAATTTTCACTGGTGCTCCCAGATAAGTACAGATAAAATTGCCATGGTGGTATGCATTCTGGGAGTATTTGTGAGATAGAAAAGTCTTACATTTTTGTAGTCAATGTTTTTTTACAAGAAGCAAGAGTAACACGTGCTGGATGGCACAACTGCTGGTTAAATGCCACTGCAAGAACCGTTACTTCCATCCGGGTTTATTCTAAACATAACCAGTCATCTTTAACTTCCTATTAAAGCAGGATTTAATGTAGAACTTGGATTTTGCTCTCATTAACTAGCATATGCCAGATTTACAAGCTCTGTGTGAGGTTGTACACATTTGTATCTAAGGGGAACGAGTGGGCAGAGGGTGCGCAATTCCTGCCTGGAATAAATGAACCAAGGTCTTCACAGAGAGCTCCATCTGGCTACTAGCATCCACCGGCACGCAGCCGGGGAGAGTCAGCTATCATATCTAATGGTATAGCTGAAACTTCCCTGGACAAGAACTGAAAAATCTCTCGGTCACATTTCTGACAGAGCTTTTTGTCAGAGCACTGTCCCTGGGTGGGTACAGGGTAGTTTCTCCATTGATTTCTGAGCCGGGGTTGTGACAGCTGAAGGATCCTGATGCCTCATGATAGACATTCCCTAAAAGTTGAGAAGAAATGCACATATTCTAACTGGAACAGATGAAATGGCATGACCTACTCATCCATTTGCTGGTGTATCTTTTGTCAGTAGCTCTGCGGCCCAACATGATATATCATCTTTGCCCATGGCAGAAGCAGCGTGCTCTTTAACATCTGTTAGGCTGTCATTCTCTTTGTTCCTCCCTTGTTGCTGAGTGTATTTAGGCTTCCTGTAAATATGCCGATGCTGGCACTTACTGTCGAGTGAAGATTGCATATTGTTTCTGTATCAGTGAGCTTTTACTTAGCCTAAAGGCCTTTCCTGTGACCTACACTGTACTGAATTGTTTGAATTGCACCGATTATTATGCAGCATTTCCTAAAGCCCCTGTTCCCAAGGAGGATGGTTCCCTACTGTCTGCTGCTGTAAAGGAATCGCAGCTGCCATGGGAAGGAGCGGTGCAGGGGGCTTTGCTCCTGTTCTTTACAGCTGATATTAGAGCAGAGATTAAAGTGGAGGAGGACTTTCAGGGCAGCTCTTCCACTCTGGAGGTAAAGGCATAGACATCTGGACACTGCTGGAGAGTTGCAAGATCTTCACTGAGTGCAGAGGGTGACAAAAATGTTCCCTCACAGGGAAGTGAAGGAAGGGGCTGTCAGTTTGTTCAGCTCTTCCTTTCTAATGACATAATCAACTTATCAAATGGCTCCTCTGGCATGAGTTTGAACTCTTGTGCTGCGTAGAGTTATCTGGGACATTTCCCAGTACCAAAACTATACCAGCCACTGAGGATTTGGTGAGTGCTAATTACTAATTCCATATTGAAAAATGAGGCTACAGGAGGGGGCAGCTTTTCCTTCTCCCCCTGTTTGTTTGTG